TCAGCGAGGCTTTCATTTTATTTGGTCTTATGCTTTCCTCATCTAAACTGTCACTTCTCTCTGTTACATCAATTGAGCTAGATGTTAGAGTTGGACTGGATTTGGTTATAGCTTCAACAGTTAAACAATCTGTTTCTATTTTCCTTTTCTCTCAATTTCCAGTAGCTTGTTTCATCTACCAACACATCTCTCCGGATCATGAGCTTATTGTTTTTCAAGCTCAAAACCCGATATGCTTTTGCTTCTGCACTGTATCCTAAAAATAAACCCAATTCAGCCTTCTCGTCCAGCTTTGTTCTTCTGTCATTTGAAACATGACAGTAACAAATCGACCCAAACACTTTCAGATGCTGAGTTGATGGTTTTATGCCATTTCAGGCCTCCACGGGTGTCATTCCTTTCACTGCCTTTGTGGGCAACATGTTGAGCAGAAATACAGCAATGTTTATTGCCTTAGCCCAAAGCACTTTTGGTAAATGTTTGTCAGCAAGCATACTTCTTGCCATTTCCACAATGGTTCTATTCTTCCTCTCCGAGACACCATTATGTTGTGGAGAATATGGTGCTGTGAGTTGTCGTTTCATCCCATTTTTTGAGCAAAATTCCTTGAATTCACCGGAATTGAACTCAAGTCCATTGTCTGTTCTTAAGCACTTCAACACACAGCCACATTCATTCTCTGTCATGACTTTAAATCTTTTGAATTCGTCTACTATCTGAACTTTGTTCTGCAGAAAGCACACCCAGGTCATCCTGGTAAAATCATCAATAAATAAACCAAAAAACCTATTTCCATTCATTGAGTTTTCACTCATTGGACCACATATGTCCGAGTGAATTAGTGCAAGCTTTTGATTTGCCCTCCAATATGTCTGAGTAGGAAATGCCTGTCGAGCCATTTTTCCCAACTGGCAGACACCACAAACCTTTTCAGTAGCTCCTATATTTGGAAGATCCTTGGTTAGGTCTCCCTTCTGCAACTGAAGTAACCCAGCAGCATGATAATGGTCAAAATGTCTATGCCACAGCTTCCCTTCAGGTATTGTGACAACATTTGCCATTTCAACTACTTCTTGGAGATTCAGGTACGCCTGGTTCCTTTTTGAAATGAGAGCAATCAATTTGTCTTCAGGATTATGGATTCTACAGCATTGGTTTTTGAATGAAACTGAGTATCCATTATTGGTCATTTGATTTACACTAAACAGATTTTGAGAGAGAGTGGGAACGAAATTCACATCAGTGATAAGTTTTCTACCTTCCCTCGTTTCTATAGCAACATTACCTTTGCCTTTTATGGATTCCAGCATACCGTTTCCAAGTCTTACTTGGCCTGTTGCTAATTTGTCAAGTGACACAAACATGACTTCATTCTTGCACATGTGAGAAGTGCAACCACTATCAACAACCCAGAGGCTGTTGTCTTCCACTGTCAATTCACTTGAAGCAACAAGAATTGTATTACTTTGCTCACTGGATATCTCAATGACATTTACATGTTGTAGCTCCTGCTTAGATTGTGTTGCTTCCAACTTTTGTTTTTGCCTACAGAACTTCTCCTTGTGGCCATGTCTTTTGCAGAAGTTGCATCAGATAGCTTTCTTTCCCTTATACTAGTATTCACTCTCAAAATGATTTGTGAGGGAGCAGATGTTACAAGGAGGATACTTCTTCTGTTTTCTGGAACTTTGGTTTCCAGTTTGATTTCCTCTATTCCTTCTGCCTTGATACTGATTTGAAGGGGTAGCTTTGGTTTGAGACGAGAATAAGGCTCCTTCAGTAGGTACACGAGCATGCATGTTGACACGTTGCTCCTGTGATTGCAGCTTATTGATTAGTTCAGCTGAAGAAATCTTATCAATATCTGCAAGTTCCTCCAATGCTGAGATTTTAGACTCAAATTTTGGTAGTAAGCTTATAAGAATTTGTTCTACCACCATTGATTCAGGAAAGTCCTCCCCCAACAATCTCATTTTATTCACAATATCCGAGAGTTTGGAGGCATAATCCCTAACAAACTCATTTTCTTGCATTCTGAGTAATGCAAACTCACTTTTCAGCCTCAGTAGTTTGATCTTCTTGCTTCTGTCTCCTCCAACAAACTCTTCCTTCAGTTTCTCCCACGCTTCCTTGGGTGATTCATAGTTCATAATCCTAGAAAAAACCCTATCTGAAACCGCTGAGAAGAGGCAGCAATTGCTTTTGGTTTCTTGGCCTTCTCTTCCTCGTGTCTTTTAATCTGATTCAATGTAGCAGTTTCTTGTAGTGGGGTTGGTTCGCTATCGTCTATAATAACATCCCATAAACCCAGAGCTTTGAGGTGAGCTCGCATCTTTATTGCCCACACATGGTAATTTTCTCCGTTGAACTGCGGAGCAGGGATAGTTCCTGAGGTAGCCATCGGGTTTGAGAAATTTTTGATTCACCTGATACGTAGGAGAACCTGGCTCTGATACCACTTGTTGGATCGGATGAGTAATAGCTTCAAAGAAGCTGAAACGGTGAGCAAATTTAGAGAGAGAGTCAAGGAGAGAGAGAGAACTGCAAAACAGAGTCCAAGGGCTGCATCACCTCTGTTTCTTTAATTTCAGAAGAATTTGGTTTCTTTTTGTTTTTTTTTTTGAAGAGAGGAAAAAACTAACTTTATTGAATTGCACGATTATATTTCTAAGCATGGAGTTGTGCTTGATTACACCAAAGATGACCCGATAAAATAAAACTCAGAGATTCATGTTAACATGCTGCATGGCAGCTGCGCAGGCTGCAGCGAGTCACTTTCTTCACAACCTACTTTTGAATTTAAATTTGAATTAAGTAAATGGATAAGATCGGTAAAATCAACACCATCCCTAATTTAAGATGCTAATGGTGATAAAACACCATTAAAGAGAATAAGGGGAAGGAAAAATGAAGAACACCAGGCAAAAGAAAAAGAGAAATCACAGTCTTCAGTCAAATTTTGAATGAGGAATAAAAGCCATAGAAAGGATAGAGCAAAGTGTAAAAATTGGATTTTTGCTCACAGTTGCCAAAAAAAGAAAAAAAAATGTTTATAATGAATATGAATGATATAAATTAATTACTTGTTAATTTATATAGTTAATACATTATATTAAATATATAGTTATTATTAATTTATATAATTTTCATTCTATGTAAATTAAACATAGTAGTAATTACAATATAAATGAAAATATCATATACAATGTATATTAGTTATGTTTTCATGAAAACAAAGAAAAATATGATATAAATTTATTCCAATATTTATTAAACAGGCGATCATTAAAGAATAATATACAATGCATATATTAATTGCTTTAAAGTTAATACATATAAATAATTAAATTACTGATATGTAATGTATGTATTTATTATTCATTGAATCATATTAACCCAATATATAATGGAAATACATACATCAAACTCTATATATATATATATATACATATAATATTAGAAAATAATACAAAATAAAATAGTAAATAATGTTACTCTATTATCATTAATGGTCACTTAAATGTTCAAAATAGATGGATATATAACTAACTAACTAGCTTTTTCTTTTTCCTGTTGTTAAATTGTGTATAAAATTTACATATTTTGTTAAGTTACATTATTATAAATATAGAAGTTAATATGACATAATAATAGGAGATATAGAGTGTTGCCTTGGTTTGAATTTTTTGAAAACTAAATTTAGTGATTTGATTTTGGGCATCCGATGTAAACCTAACCAAACTTAAACTAATATTATTTCTTTATATATATAATAAAAATTAAAATATTTTGACTTAACTGTATAGATGATAGATGACGGTTACCTCTAAATCATTAATTACTACGAAAGCATTGTACCTACTTTCTTCTGCTACTATTCTACACTCTTATATATATTATTGATAATAAATGCTTTAATAAGTATAAAAAAATATATTAAGATTAATTCTCACTTTACTTTTTTTTTATCATGTTTATGAACTACTCAAGTTCTACACTAACAATAATTTAAACAGGGTTGATGATTTAAATTCAAAAAATTATTAGAAATAGATTTATAATATTTTAATATTATTA